AAGCAACCTAAAAATAGAGACAAAAAAAGGAAACATAATAACATGGTTAGAAGCTCATAAAAGTTGATTTTACATAATAACATCGTCCAAAACTAACTATATTACATAAAGAGAGCACTGATTTATTGTAAGGTAGAACCCTTTAGTAACGGTTTTGTTTTGGTGCTGTCCCTAAAGCTAAGCTAAAAGATCAATACTGTGCAATAGAAATGACAGGAAACCCACGAAACAGTGACATCAGCTTCTAAATGGAGCGACAAGGACTAAAACCGCAGCTTCCTGGCTCTTCGCATGGGGGGTCATAATCTGTGATGGATGCACTCTGGAAATCTAGCTTTAATTACCATGTATTTTCCACGCCACTTGTCCAGAATAAATGTGTGCCATCTGATCCTACAAGAAAAGAGGTCACTGTGGATTTTCATGCTGTATATTTACAAATGGCTCAAATTAAAAACTATTCCTTTAAACACTATGATGTATTGTGTTTTAATTATGTTGGCCAATTTATGTGTTTTCCCATCGTTCATGTTTTTGACAGATAGTTCAACTGTGTATGGATGTAGAAACTGATGCTTAGGGCCATTTATTCACTTCATTTGCATTGACCACTGCACTGTTTATAATGTGTGTTATTATTACTACTACTGTTACTAGGCAAGTTTGGTAAACACTTTCATGTCACAGTTACTACTATAGTGTGTATGTAGGATGATTTCATATTTTGTATAAGGTTTATGATGGACAATTTCTTCTAGGCCTATTTGCAAAGGATTAACTAAACTTTTATAATATAATATAGTTTGGCAAAAATCAGAAAATGTCCCGTTATAATTAGGGGTGTTCAAAAATAACAAAATATTGACATATCATATCGTTTAATGTGATGACACAGTATCTATATCGTGGGCTGCTGTATCGATATATCGCCAAGATTGTATTTTTACTCAATTATTTTGTTACAGCGCTACAGTTTTGTTGCTTGTGGAGAGAAAGGAAACTCGTTTATGCAACACATTTGACATTTTCACTGTTTAGATGATTAAAATGGGTGTGTTTCATATTCACTTTGCACAAGAAGTGGTTTAACAAAGACTTTTAGTATCACAGCCATGATTTAGCTTTTTTTATTGAACCATATCGAATTGATTTGAAATATATCGTATTGAACTGAAAGTGCCCTGTATCGAGGTATGTATTGTATCATGGCCTATGTATCAAGGTATGTATCATATGGGCAACTTCTTAATGATACCCAGCCCCACTAACAATGTATTTACTCTCTTGGAGCACTGCTCAAACTATAAAATACAAGGCAATAAGAGCAAAACTCCATGCTCTTCTTATTATCTAGATGATTTACTACATGATCCCATCTCCAAACACAACATTTCACATTGGTGAGTTATAATGTCGTTTTAAAGTAGTTCAGAGCTGTGGGCATAATGTTCAAACTTTGCCTACTGTTTCTTTAAGACAAACACAGGGTCTGACAGCTTGGATGGTGTGCAGATGTGGAATAAAAAGACTTGTAGCATACTTCTAGCCAGTAGAAGCTATACCATGTACAAAATGCACTGAAACAACGTCCCCAACTACTTAATTATTACTTAATTTACCCTAAACAACATTATTATGAGTTGTTTGGGCTAGTCTTACCTTCTTTGACTTCGCAGCGGTGAAGGATTGAGCTACTGTGGCACTCCAAGCCAATGAGTCCAGCGAACATCTTCCCACGAGCAGCTGGGTTAGTCCAAAACGTCAAATGCGGAGACTTCTTACGTCGACCATCATATCAGATCCAAATCGTGGCAATTACCTAATTTCTGACGTAAAACTGATCCGGATTATCAGCTTTAATGCACTTTAACTTTAGCCGGCTTTGTCTCCAATAAACATTTCCTGAGCCATCCAGTTGTGCGCGTTGGACCTCTCCTCCTCCTTGGCCGCTAACAAGAACAAAGTTACGGATAACTATCGGAACAAAAGATGCCAGACTGCACGCTTAACACGGCTGACTTTTTTCCATGCTTGAATAATAATAATAATTGCGCTGTAAATCTCTTGATCGATGTGTCCGCGTGTAATCCGCTATCCGCTGCGCCTCTGCGTCGTGCGTGCGTCGTACTGGACCAACGTGAGAAGCTCCTACGTGTTCAGGAATTTGAGTCCACGCTCCTCCAGACCGTCTCACAATAAACAGCAGATAAACTAAAAGCCTATTAGCGCTAAAGCCTTAAAATGTGCTCCAAAATGTCCCCAAACAACATTCTCTTTATCTTCTTTTGCGAAATTTTAAGCGATTTCAGATCCCATGTCTAACTTTTTGAATGTCCACACTGATGATGAAACAGCCTGTTTTTCTCCTCCCAGTTTGGGGGAACCAAAACTGGAGCCCTCTGGAGGTTGACAGAAAGAAAAGACCCAGTGTAGGCTACTGTCGGTCATTAGAAGTGCTTACTGCCCGAATAAATTAGATTAAAGTCACTCACTTGGCCACTTATGACTGCGCACACTTGGGTTGTGAATGGTTGTTAGAAATTATATATTAAGTTATTATTGTTTTAATGTAAGCAGTGAGATAGAGATAGGCCTAAACCTACCATGAATAAACTTATTTCCCATAAATAAATAGGCAAACTGTATTTTATTTTATTTTTTTATAGTATTGGGTTGTGTGGTGTAATTTTATACATTGGAAATTTAAAATTATGCATTTAATTAGGTATAGTAAATTTTAAAAAGACAAACAAAAAAGATTATGACTTTCTATATTATTATTTTTATTTGTGTTTGTTTGTTTGTTTTATTTATCCACACAACACACAACAATTTATTTCTGGAAAAAGAATGCGTCTCAATTTATGGAGACGTTCGCTATTTCTCCCAATAGATGTCAGACTTGTACACGTTTGTCACGCAGACTCCACTTTTTATCAGTGGAAGGGTAAGATATTTGCAAATAATTTTAGAAAATATATTAAGAGTTTGGAGGGAAGCGAGTTCAGAATGAGGATGCAGGAGAAGTCTGTTTACAAAGCTATATTGTTAGCAGTTTTTTTTTTCTGTCGATCAGTTTATTCTCTTGTTGACCACTAGATGTCAGCATGCACCCAAAAAGCCTAGAAACTGTCTAGTCTAGTTTTAATGTGACCAGACGTCCCTATTTACCTGGGACAGTCCCAGTTTTGAGCCCCGTCCAGGTAGATTCATCTAAAACCAGGGATTTGTCCAGGTTTTATACAAGAAATGTCCCAGATGTTCCTATTCTTGACCAATCTGATACCTGCCAACAGCAAAGAAAGGCACATACATTGTCATTTGTTTAGGTAAAATACAGAAAAGCTGCTTAAAATTTACCAAAACACAAAGAAAATGTGATTATTCCGACTCTCATTAGTGTCGAGTGCATAAAATTTTTCCTTACTTAGGCACTCATTTCACAATTTTATTATTAACAAACACCACAAACCAAAGATGTCCCAGTTTTTTATTTTGAAAATTTGGTCACCCTACTCTTTCTGATATTCATCCATCTTAGCCTACGTCTCAGACCTCAAAGAAATAAATAAAGAAAGAAAGAAATACATGACCAAAGAAAATAGGCTAATAAAATGGTGTATGCAAAAGATTCAGTATCTCAAAGCATATTAATTATAATGTTTAGGCTCTGAAAGGACAGTTGTAAAATAATTTTCTATAGTTAGTTTGGTCATTTGTATTAAGCAGCTGTGGCATTAGAGAAAACATCCTTATATTATGTCAATGAGTAAATCCGGTTTCTCTTAAAAGTGGAAATGCCTCATTCCCAGATCATGATTAACTGTTCCTGTTCTCTGTCTTGACATGTATGACAATCGTACACAGACTGGTGGTAAAGTGGAGTTCTTATAATTTATAATAGTTAAAGGTGTACTGTGTAACTCTGGTTCTGGTGGAGGGCTCAGTACCTGCTTGGAGATGTTTTTGCTTTCCCTGGAATGTTCCACGGTATGGTATTAAACTTGCCGGTGACATCAGGCCAAGTTCCAGGTGAGCTCTGTGTAGAGAATGAGTGAGAATGCTGTTTTTTTCTAGGAGATAAACACACCTGAATTCATGTGAAATAAACAAGTTTGATGCCATACAGTGGAACATTGCAGACAAAGCAGTAACTTCTCCATGGAAACAAGGTGGCAGACTATCCACCAGAAAGTTACATAGTGCAATCCACCAGTTTTGGTCTATTTTCAGCAATAATACAGTGAGTTTTCATATGTTTATGCTTGAGTTAACCCTGGTTAAGAATGGTTCAGTCATAATTATGTCTTTGTTTAGTCTGGGTTTCACTTTATTTGTATTTTTATACCTTTAGTTGGTGTTTTTCCGAATATATAATTAGATTTTGTTTGTGAAACTCTTGATTGCATTTGTTTTTTACATTTCCTGCTGTTATGTTGTTGTTTTTATTTGCATCAGCTGTTTTCTTGGGATAGCGGTGGATGTTCTGGGTTATAGCAGAGAATGTGCACCTACTGTGTACAAAGGTCCCATGTTTCCACCCTCCCACCACTGGCTTTACCTTAGATTATCTGAGTGTGATAGAACGCTAAGGGGGCGGGACAACACTGCAAAATAAAATAAACACACACACTTATCAAAGACGATGCGCGCATGAAGGATTTGGCACAGGAACTTTATTCATGCAAAACAACCGAAGTTACAAAGATATTTATCAAAAAGGAAAACATGGTGCTTTACGGTAACACTGGTTTATTTGAAATTCAACACAAAAACTCACCAAAGCATAAGAATGCCAAAACAGCTTTCAGATCCTGTTTACAAGTGTACAGGTCTTCAGCATACAGTCCTACATCATTATTACTGTTATTATCATTGTTAGAAGTGAATTTATTTCAGCAGTTAAACGTATAGACTGCGCACATATTAAACCAATTCACAAATGACATTACCTTTCATTAAAAAATATCATCTGGTAGCATTAAATTTATTTTTTAAAAAAAACTATTGTTGGGGGGGCTACACATTAATTTACTTTGAAACTAAAGGTGCAGCATGTTACTTTTCTGGTATAGGGTCTGCCATTACTTGTATCCATGGGTAGTATCCATGTACTTATTTTTTATTTATTTAGCATTAAAAAAAAACACCTGAAATTCAAAGTTATATACCTTTAACTACTGAAACAACCTGACTAGACTAGATTTAATGATGTAGAACTCTATACTGTCAAATCAGGCCCCATTAATAAAAGTGAACAATAATAAAACCAGGCTTCCGAGCAAATGGGATTAAACCACTCCCTCCTCTGGGTCCATAATGGTGTTTCTGCTCGTGAACACATCTGCCAGCATGTGTTTGGGGATCTCAGACCCTCGGACTCGTAGTGTGTAGCAGGCGTCCTCCACTTTACCCAAACTCTGCCTTAATGTGTGCAGTTTCTTGGACACTTCGTAGGGCCCTGTGTTACCTATGTAAGAGAAACCATCGTGGATTTGTCGGAGGAACTGGCTGAGCTGAAAGGGCGTGTCGATATCTCCGTTTCCCACACTGCTGATGCACAGACGCATTAGTTCCCCCGTGAGGTCGGCCACGCCCAGAAGGTAATCTGAGGGGGTCACCTGGAAGGTCAGGACATGGGTGCCCCCCGGAGCAGCTTCAACAGGAACCTGGTGTATCACGGCAAAAGTATTAGAAGAAAGGGGGAAGTAAGGGGGAAAAACTGAGGTCCTATATATTAAGCATTATTATGTTATTTTAACTTGAAATGTATGATTTACACGCCTCTCCTAAAAGAAACAAATTCACTCACAATGGAAATACATTTCTTATTTTTTATGACATTAACTGAGTTTTAAATAGCCATTATTAATATGGATATGAGCTTATTTGACATAATTGTTATCAACTTAATCACCAATATCAACTTTTTTTCATTGCTGGAGTAATGCATAGCTGAAATACAAAACAGGTTTTAAACTTGATTGCATTACTAAAAAAATTTATAAAAAAAAATTTAATAGATATTTGAATATACTGAATATATTATTTCCTTTATTTTATTTATTAATTAATTGTATTTATTTTATTTTACTTTAATTTATTTAGAACAGCTGTATACATAAAAGCCTGTTTCTGTCATGTGATTTTGTTACCTTAACATTCTCTTTCTCTGCCCTCATGAACACCAGGCGGGCGTTGATCTCCTCGAGGCTGATGAGGCTGCGATGGCGGATGAAATGCTGGAACGAAACAGCTTCAACATACTCCTGGATACCTGCAATAAAGATACACAGTACATGTATATTACAGTATATTAGCATTGTTAGGCTGTTGAAACAGAATCTTGGCTGGCTCCATCTGCATGTTATTTAATTTTCTGAAAACAATGAAAGACACACAGGCCATTTCCTTAAATAAAGAGGGTCAAATGAGTGCAGCACGCACTATGTGTAAAGTACTACATGGTATCAGCAGTGAGAGCAGATTTCAGATCAAGACAATGGTTCAAATAGGCCTGCCACAATAACTAATATTGTGTGTGATATATTGCTGAAAAAAAATATACAAATGATAATATACACAATAACTGTAAAACAGGACAACCAAGACTCCAGTAAACCCTTTCCTAAATGTATGATATTGTTAAAAAACATGAGCTGCAATAAATAAAAAGCAGAATAAAACACTTAATTTGTAAGTCAGTAACAAAAAAGAGTCAGAGAAGTTGCTAATAAAAAAAAGAAAAAACTCTTCAGTAGTAGAAAGAACATACAACAATTTTAAATACCCTGCAAAATATTGTTCCTCCTCCTATAATTTACTGAAGTCAATATATTAATTATCGTGACAGACCAAAGTGAAAATCAGACATATTTCCTGCTGCAGCCGTTTGACAGGGTTGCAGCGCTCTGTGTTTGGTGGGCTCAGATGACCCCACACTTGTTTTCTGGCCCAGTGTAAACAACAATCAAATAATCACAGGACGGAAGACTTTGTGTCTGAAGTTTACTTTGGGGGCTTCAAAGCTGCTCCTATCTCCGAACAGAGGTCTCAGTGTTAGAGAGCGAGGGAGAGAGAGAAGGGTAAAGAGAGAGTGAAGGAGAGAAGCAGAGAGAAAAAAAGAGAGATGGAGAGATAGGGAGCTGGAGAGTGTAAGAGATTGTCTGAAGAAAAAAAGGGAGATTAAAACAGAGAGACACTGAGAGAAAGTAGAAAGTGTGACAGAGAAAAAATGGAAGGAGAGAGAGTTAGGTCATCCTGACTAAGGATGACCTAACTAAGGTCAGTTTAGTCTTGATAAGAGCTTGGTTTGTTCTGTTCTGTTCTAGTCCTTGTTTAGTCTTGATCTATTCTACATCCAGTCTAGGTTTAATTTCAGTTTCACTCCCTTTGTTTCCGATAAGGTGTGTGGTATAAAAATGTGAACTCAGCCCAAGTAGCAGTAAAACAAAAAAACTGAGACAATTTCTGTTCAGTTTTTCCAATTGCCTATTCCAAAATTATACACTAGGATAAATTTTCAAATGAACAACTTTATTTCATGCACTTACGGAATCATATTATTTTATAGTCCTACACAAATAAAGTGATCACTGACTGAATTATATCATGTATTTTGTAGCTGAAATGCACATTTTTGTATTATCAAACATAAGCTTATGTACAGGACTAGGAGAGACGGTCTGAGCAGCCAGGAAGTCACATACACATTACCCAGCAGGCTTTGATGCAGGTGGAGTCCAGTTCCTTAGTTTACTGTCAGAAGCTCTGTGCATCATTTAGCAAACAGAGCAACAATAGCACTCTTACCTCAGCCCTTTGTTCTGTCTGTATATAAAATACTTACACTTACATAATCACATATGGTTTCTTAAACTTCTCTATAGAATGCATTAAAAACTCATCACCTCAACATTATATGACTATACAATGAAAACAGGGCTAAAAATGAACCCCTTCGAACATTTTTGATCCCGCTTAGGATAGTATTGAATGCAAGCGTTAACAGGGTTTGGAAAAGCACGCAACTTCCTATGAACTTTATTTGACTTTTAATCATATGGCTCTTTTATGAATATAGCAGCATGACCTCAACCATATAAACATTGTTTTTGTATTTAGTATCTCTGTTATGTCTACAACTCCAAACAAACAACACTAAAATAAAAAGATATAAAGATAATTAATACAAATATTATATATTATTATAATATCATTATTATTATTAACCGTATAATAAGGATGGCCCACATGGCACAATTTGCAATATAGTTTTGACCATCTAGTAAAAGATTTTGTGTCTGTGGTACAAAAGCAGAAATGTCAAAAAATCACTGTAATTGGGTGACAATATTATAATAAGCACAAAAAAACGATAAAAGTCATATTTTTCATGCAAAAATAATTCCTTTCAATTCAACTATGCTCCAAAAAAAAAAAAAAAAACCCTGTATGTAAAGTGTGTTTTATGTGTTTATGTCACATTAACTTGATATTGTAAACCTATTCACATACTCGAATGGTGATCGATTGGACAGTGGGGATGAAAATGAATTAAGCATCATTCACTCATCAGTCAGTAATTGTGAATAATCATTAAACAGTTTAATAATCAATAAAATGTTCCTTCTCAAAAATACCTTGCTGAAATTGTATATTATGAATACAAGGTCTATTGGTTATACAGGCACATTTGGGAATCATTACTTTTTTGTCACTTTCAGCAGAATCACAGTTGTTTTTGTACTTTGCTGATTTAATGAAGCACAAATGTGGTACAAAGCTGTTAATATTTGACCAGTGCCCAGTTCAGTGGGTTGCAGGTGAACCCTCTGTGTCTGGCGCACTTGTGTTGTCTCTATAGTGTTCTCGTTAACAGAGCTTATCACTGCAGGTCTGCTACTTTATCACCCTCAATTACCTCCTGATTCTGCCCACAATATCTATCTATGACACTGCTGGTATAAAGAACACAGAGCCATTTACTGTGCATGCTTAGAGACATCTCTTCCTGACGACATTATCTGGAAAGTCCTCAATCTAATAAAGATGATAAAAAATGAAACATTTAATTGGTGGGAACTGCCACTAGTCACGTCGCAAAGGATGCAGCACAGATTTCTAAAGTGGCCACAATCTAAAAATGACTTCCCCAGCACGCAGATAACAGCGTTTTCTTTGCTCGGGGTGATGTGTTTTTCCTCCAAATTCACAGACGTTTTGACTAAGCTAACAGAAACTTGTATTGATGCTAGTGGGAAAGTAGCTTTATCAAGAGGGTGTGACTATCGGGGTCTGGGCCATATCAGAGCCGCCGTATCGCACAATCTTTACAGAATTAAGATAAATGTAATATGGCTTTCATCAAATGTTCTGTACTCGTAATATGTTCCTGTGAATTTGTTCAGTTTGGAGAAAATATTTAACATTTTGAGAGCTACACAAGACATTCGGTCACGTTGTGTATAGGATAACTTACAGGGAACAAAGGCCAAAAATCATAAACTTGAAAAAGAACAAAGCTTAGTATCCACTGGAAGTCTTTTTTTTTTTGTATAAACCAAAATAAATTGTATTTTTAATTGCCCATATCTATAACAAAGTTTTTTTTTTAAATGTTTAAAAAAATGTACATTTTGGACTTTTGCAGTGAGTGAAAATCTGTTAACATTACTGTATAGCCCTTCAAGACTGCTTAGCCTGTTAAACCAGTGGGTATTTTTAGATGCTAAATACACTCTAGAGTGTAGTAAACTACTGTATAGTGTAATAAAGTGTACTGTATAACACAACAGTGCTTCTGGCTGTTTCTTTTTTTTTTAACTTTCTATTAGCCCTACGTCTGCTTTTCAACCATCTGTCATAAGAGGATTTCTAAATATCCGACATCCGCACTGAGGATATCGTATTCTCTTCCGATGGAGGTATTAGTGTCACTATGGAAACCGCAATGTCAGCTTTGACCACCCCACAGAGAAATGACAACCACAATAATAAGTTACTCCACTTGTCCTGTCATGAAAATGTAAATGCATTTGAGTGGCTTATGCAGGCTATTTCGGGAAGCTTGATTTGATCGACCTTTTGTATAAAACATGAGTCATATCCGAGTTAGTCATCACAATATGCCACGTTGAAGATCTCAAACAGGGTGGGACTGAACAAAATTTATGGGAAAAATATGCAGCTTTCTAAAACTAATTGTGATTAGATTCACAAGATATTCAGTTCCCAGTGCTCATTTTAATAAGACCGAGAGCATTAACATTTGAGAGAACACTGAAATATTAAATGCTAACTGCTAATGACGAATAAATCAGATTCACAACATTTCCCATGAATTTCAAATGATGTTAGTAGAGGTTTAAACTACAGGGTAAGAAGGTTTCATACACAATAAATAACCCATAAGACTTAAAATTTATTATTGAAAAAATGATTTGCTAATGGTGCCTATTACAGATGCATTATTTACCTGGAATATCTCGCAGCATGACATGAAAATGGTCTTGAATTTATTTTGTTTACAGGTGTTTCTGATGCTAATAACACACTGAAACATTCTTGCTGTGAGTGGTATCACTTCTCCACAGATCTTACCTGTAACTCAGCCTAATGGTCACCTGCTTATCTCCAAGGAGATAGATATGTTTAATGTGATACTGTGGAACTTTCCTGGTAAAGCAATAACACCTTCAAAATATATAACCTAATTTTATTATATAACATTTCAGTTATATGCAGGAGACTTGGTTGCTCCACCTTTTGTACAAACATGAATCATATTCTACTAGTCAAACAATGGAGCATTCAAGTTTCCACTGGGGGCATATGAATGAGAACTGGCTCTTACCAGGTGTGAAGGCTCTGTGGAACTGGTAGATGTCCTCTCCTCTGAGCTCGTCAGCAATGAGGCCAATCTTCTGCCTCACCAAATCCAGTTTAACATCAGCTTCACTGAGAATCCCCTCAACATCAGGAACACTGACATAACAACATCATATTAGTGTTGGAAAAGTGGTTTCAACTATATGTTGCCCTACAGTTTAAAACTGAGATAAAGAACAGACTTATATGGTTGCGGCACATTATTCAGAAAGTAGAACAATTACAATGCACAGTTTGTTCTAAACTATATTTGCAACATTTGAGTTTTACACATGAATGTTTGTTTTCTATATAATAAAATATGTATCAAATATGTATAAATTGCATATATCCAAACAACATTTATGATTATTGACAACTTGATATATTGCCCATCTCTACCTCCATCTGAGTTTTTAACATAATTAAGTTGAATGTGAATGCAGTCTCTTCTCAACAAATGAATGTCTTTGTGTAGAGCATGCAAGTTGTTGAAATTATAATTTTTTTTTAAAGAAAAAAAAAAGAAAGAGTCTGCTGAAGTTTAAAATGCATAGATTCTTGTAATTGTACTGTAACTGAACATGTGAAGCACTTCACTTAACCATGTCTGTTTAAGTGCTACTATGAATAATTTGATGAGTGAAAATAAAACATACCTGGTTACTCTGTGTAAAAGGAAAATAGTCCTTTTGCTCTCAATGGTGATGTCTCGACTGATCTTAACAAGCCGCTCATATTTGTCATGTTTGGTGTCGAGCTCCTGCTGGAAAACTTAGAATTGGACACCAAAACCTTTAATTCAGAACGTATTTGTATACAAGGTTAGATAAATACAGAGGAGGAGATTTCACCTTTAAAAGCAGCGATGATAGGCGAGGACACGTTCACATTGGCATCACTCACAGCCTTTTTACTGGATGATCCTTCACCTGACAAAACATCCATAAAATGTCTTCATGCATGCTTTTCTATAACACAAAATATCACTAAGATGCATGTTCACTGATATGGAAATAAACAAAACACAGAAAATGCAAGAACTAAAGAAAAACGATGTATTAAGACTTAAAAACAAGGTGTAAACTGAACAATAACAGTAATAAAATAATTTTTTAAACTGAGTAATTTAATATAGGGCCCACCTTCTCGTTTATTCATCCCTGAAAGTTGAGTTGAAGAAGCTACTGGGGAGGAAATCTAAAAACTACACGAGCAGATGCTAAAAACATGAGACTCTCGTGGTCAAGCTTCGGAATTACGGAAGAATCGCGAAAAAAAATTGCTTATCTGCTACTTACTCTTGGAAAACTTAACATTTCCTACCGCGTTGATTAAATAAAGCTCGTTTGATAAGCTAAGTGGCAGATGGGTCAATTTTTCAATGTTGTGGTACACTAGCAGGCAATCACACGGACTCCTAATGGGGACCTTTGCGCGTGGATCCGTACGTAATGTTGCGCAATGCATTTCGGGACATGTAGTACAAACAAACCAAGCAATACATTTGACATTTTATTTGAATCATGATTTAATTATGTCAGTCTTAACATTCAGGTATTAATATATAGAGGGATTGTTTACGCTATGGAAACAATAATTTAGATTTTAAAATATATAATAATTGTAATCTTTGACTACAAATACAGAAAAGCAGCGTAATTTCGCCACTATTTCTGCTCTTTTTCAATCTAAGCATACATTAGCCAACAGCCACGCCAAAATGGGTTTATAAGGAGTCATATGTGGCTATTAAATCACGTTTTTGTGCAGCCTTTCTCGCTCGGATTACTGGCGTGCGTCCAGACCCCCTCCTCTCGGGACTCCTGCAGACTGCGTACGTGCCACACAACTGGTGCCAACTCGCGCTGTGCACTGCCTCTGCGCTGCACACTCAACCTCTGTCCGTCACAAACTGTTTATTTTTACTTTGATAGGTCACTGATTTTGCTTTATGTAGCACTAGATATTTGCGCAGAGTTTGGGTTCAGTGTCAACGCTGTTTGAATAGATTATAATGAATATGAATAGGCCGACATGTGCTTCAAAGATTATAGTAAATTATGCTTCTGTTGTGAGTAAGGAATTCCACAAATGCGAGTCAGTCTGGAATTAGGGCAAACCGTGGTGGCTAGGGTTACGTTCAGGGGCTTCAATTAAACTCGGAAACTGATTACAATTACTAATAAATACTATTTTAAAAAAAAAATAAAAATAAAAATAGGATACACAGTCCAAATCAAAGGCATGGTACTAGAAATTATATTATTATCCGTGGGCCTATTCGTAGTAGTTGATTGGTATAGATTTTGTGTATTTTGTTTTAAATGGGCATGACTGTAATCAAAACAAATTCTGAATCCCAATAATAAGATAAACAAAAAGAATAGACTACCAGTTGTTCTGAAAGCAAAGTTTGAACACATTATTACACATTATTTTGACTGGTGCATTTGAAGTGTACATAATTTTGAATGCACTTTATCTGAAGAGCTTTTTTTCTATTATTGTGGACTCAAGGCAATAATTATAGAAAATTGCTGTTATTCACTCAAGGGGATCTAAAAACTCTCTTGAGGCTCAGGGGTTACAATAAACATGCACACAAGTTATGTTTTATTTTGTATTGGCTTGTTAATAAAATGTCATTTCCATTTTTTTTTTTTTTTTTTTTAATTCAAAACACAGGTACAAGTGGTGAACTAAAATAGAATATATATGCAGGCCTAATAGTTTGTTGGACAAGAAAATGTAAATGTTGTGATTAATCTCCACACAATTGGGCCTGTTATGGGTCGACTTGTCTGTTGCCAAAGCCCTGCTAGAGTTTATTAGCCCATGTTTGTTTGGTCTGTCTTTAATCCAACTGATGACAGTCGCTCACTCAAAACTGGGCACAGGTTTCTGTTACAGTAGTCCTGTTTGATCATCAACTAAAGACCTTTAACAAATCGTGTCACCTTTGTTTGAAGTCACTGAAAACGAAAAGCGCACTGTGTAAATTTTATAGTAGTCTGCCACCTTGTCTCCATGGACATGATTTACCTGGAAGGTTTCATAGTATGACAATAAATGTTTATATCTCCATGGATAGGATCAGGTGATGCCATCAGGCGAGTTACAGGTTCCCTCACAGTGAGATTTCAGTGAGTTTTTTGTTGTTTGTTTTAGCATTTAAAATATTGGTAATGGAATAAATATTAAATAGACAATGTAATGCCATACAGTGGAACATTCTGCAAAGCAACGACATCTACACAATATTATCAAGCAGTTGGCAGACCATCCACCTTAAAAGTTACAGCGTGCGCCTTCTGTAACTATATGATCTTATACAGCCTGCTATGCAATACTCCACATGGGCTTGGCCTTAGCAATGCCTTAAATGTGCACTCTGTCTTCCTGACAGTCATCATTTGTCCGGATGTCCCTAAAAGCAGCACAGTGGGCGTGTTTTGTTCGTGTTGTCACCTCAGGGCGGGCCGCTGGTTGGTCACAGGCGAGCCGCTCACTTCAGTGCTACAGGCGCCATGCTTTACGCGCAGTGCCACGGCTAGCAACAAAAATGATTCAGAAAGACCTTGGCCCAGCCCAAAATGTTCGCTCTACGCCGCTCGTCGGAGAGTTACGTCTCTGATACAACATGTGAAGAGGGAGAGAGCTTCTTAAAATGGCCTTGTTTCGAGTCTGACTTTCGCGTTTCGCTCTCTGCAGCGTGACACAGACAGTTGGTCGTTTCCAAAGTTGTCGGCTATTGCGCGGCGGAATTACAGACACCCGCAGCCAACATGGATCGGCAGCAACTGAGCGATCTGGAGCGAGACAAACAGTACTGTGAACTTTGTGGGAAAATGGAGAACCTCCTCAAATGTGGAAGGTGTCGGAACTCCTTCTATTGCAGCAAGGAGCACCAAAAACAACACTGGAAGGAACACAAGCTGAAATGCAAGGAGGCGGACAAGGCGCAGCAGAAGCAAGCCGAGCCGGCGGTGCGACAGGCGGCAGAGGAGAAGACGCGGGACGGGAATGGACAGAACAAGAAACCCCCAGAGCCAGAGCAGGGAGACAGGGACAAGGAATCCGCATCTTTACCCACGAACCCCGAGGCAGATGGAGGAGAGGACAAACCTAACAGCACAGGCACGCCTAATGGTCAGACTAGCTCATCTCTAAAGAAACTCGCCTTGGAGTATATTGTCCCGTGCATGGACAAACACGGCATGTGCGTAGTGGACAACTTTTTAGGAGTAGATACTGGACAGGGTATTTTGGACAATGTTAAAGCATTGCATGACACTGGCAAGTTCACTGACGGTCAGCTGGTTAGTCAAAAAAGCGACTCCACTAAAGACATTCGTGGGGATAAAATCACGTGGATTGAAGGGAGGGAACCGGGCTGCGAGAAGATCCGCTTTCTCATGAGCCGCATGGACGACCTCATCAGGCACTGTAATGGCAAACTGGGAAACTACAAGATAAACGGAAGGACGAAAGTAAGTGTTGAGGATGATTAAAGTACAGACCCTTTTAAATCAATCAGAATAGTAAACAACCCCGGAATGCAGGGAGATGGAGGCAAAATGAAGTGGACCGAAGTCAGGTCTTAATACTAAAGATTTAAAGTCTTTTATAATATAAAATCAGCTATAAAATTGCTGTTTACAATTTATAGACGCCAGTTAGTTTGCTGCTCTTTTACAAAAATCATTTCTAGCCCCAAATATTTATCTTATATTTGATCTTAAAAGAAAAGTATAATTTTATGGTAAAGTGTCATCTGTACACAAAATGAAAGACTTGTGTGGTCAGTATTTCTCTAGGTATCTAAATATTAGGATTTCGCCATCATCAAGTGTTTCACAATCTTCTATTAAATAAACAAATAATGTAAAATACAATTTAAAATATTTCTCAAAAGGGCTGTGCTATATCATTTGTCAAACCCCCGTTAATATTTTCATATTTGTAATATTCTGTGGTTAATCCCAAATTTCCCATTGAAATTGCAGTATGTTGCCACTTCACTTTTGCCTCCTGTTGCCTCCATTCCTGAATTTACAAAGTATTTGTTTACACATCTTAAGGGTCTATAGAGCAGTGTTCCCGTATTCTAAAGTGGAACAAAATCCCCTCTATGCTCAGTACATTGTGGTGCACCTCTCCCACGAGGTTCCCTCATATCCTAAACAGGTTTTTGGCCAAGGTCACATTCCCAACTAGAAATACCAGCTACTTCAGCCTTATCTTCTTTGAACATTGTCCTGCAGTTCTCCCTTTGCTTTGACTAATTACATGAGACTTGAAGGGCCAAAGGTGGACAGGTTCTGTGTGAGTGTAGGGTTTAGAAGAGAGGTAATGCCCTGATCCAGTTAAATCAATGCATTTCTTTACACTGGCCAACAGATGTACACCACTATTGAATTTTAGTAGGGGAAGATTTTAAAACAGTGTGGGTTTTCAATAATTTATGGCTGACATGAACCCCAATAAATAAATAAGATGTAACTTTATTAATTTCACAGTAGAGAAATTCAGTTGTCACTGGAGCTTTTATAACACAAATTGTAGATAGTTATAATTAAAAGTATGAATGTAGAAATGGAGATATTCAGAAGAAAGTATTAGATCATGTTAGCCGCACTGTGCTTCAATTGAATAGGGAGTCTGTAAATCATAATTAAATTGAATCATGAGATACCCATAGACTACGTCCCTTATTAAGTTACTTTTAAGTTGAATTGGAAATTTTGTGGAGGTAGGTGTGCCAAACATTCTAATCTGTTTCAAGTTAGTTCATACATTATTCTTATAATATGTATAATGTATTGTGACACCACTTAAATAAATCTTGGTCTTATCCCACACAATACAACTTCTCTTAAAACTGTGCTTCATGATGCAGATACGTACTAATGCAGTGACTCATTTCGCAATACTGTGGCCCATGACTCAGCAGTTTGCCGTACTTTGTAGTTAATGTAGTTTGTGATTTATCAAAAGAGGCTATAGAAACTGCACTAAATGGTTAATAGAGGATATCACTGATGTTGTCAAACACTGCTACAGGGACCTCAGACATTCTGTTGTGATATTCAGGAGTGGTCATTTTCTTTTGATTTGGAGGGATTTATTAGATTTCTCTTTGCACAGGCCCACCCATTATTTGGACAATATTAAGTCTTGGTTTGATCCTCCCCCTATGGTCATGAGCTTTGGGCAATGACCAAAAGAACAAGAACGCGGATACAAGAGGTTGAAATGAGTTTCCTTTGCAGGGTGGCTGGATACATTTTTAGAGAAAGGGTGAGGAACGCAGTCGCACAAGAGGAACTCAGAGTAGACCGGCTCCTCCAATAGGAGCCAGCTGAGGTGGCTTGGGCATTTATTCCAGAGGTCTCCTGGGCGCCTCCAGGCATGTCCCACCGGGAGGAGGCCTCGGGGAAGACCCAGGGTATGCTGGAGAGACTATGGGTGCACTCACACTAGGACTTTAGCATCGTGCCCAAGCACGGATAGATAGCTTCTAAAGCGTGGTTTGTTTGTCCAGTTTAAGTGCAATCAGACTGCGCTCAGGCACGGCACAGTTGGGACTTTGGCCTGGTTGGAGGAGGTGGGCCAAAGCATGGCACAGTTGCTCGTGTAAGCGCAGCACACAAAACTTTACTATACAATCCCTGTGTGTGTGCTGATGTTGCTCACACGAGAAAACAGCGAATAATAGCTTACCTTCAATAAAGTCCTGTCCTCACTCCTCTGCACTGTTTTATATCCATAAACTCACGGAGGAGTGTGTATCGCAGCAGGACTCATATCTGTCTCCCTATTTAATAGATATTTCATGGCGCTTGACTTATTTTCTCCGCTAAAAGCATTGGCACTGCTGTGCAACAGACAGTGCCGTGTGATGACGTCATTGGGCCATGGACTGATTCGGTTGTCCAGGTGTGAGTGCAGGACATAGAACCCACAGCAATTGAGCTTGAGGTTCTAAAGTCCTAGTGTGAGTGCACCCTATGTCTCTCGGCTGACCTGGCAACGCCTCAGGATCCCCCCGGAAGAGCTAGAGGAAGTGTGTGTGGAGAGGGATGTCTGGGCCTCCCTGCTCAGACTACTGCCCCCGTGGCCCGGCCACAGATAAAGCGGAAGAAAATGGATGGATGGTTTGATTCTCCTTCGACCTTCGTCCTTCGAGTTTTAGCTCTAGATCAGTCCTGATTTTGGTGTAGTGGTAGATTACTTGTTTGATGATATCAGTGTTGTAGAATGAATTGAGAAGGTCGCATTCTTGTTGTATTGAGTATTGGTTTCATTTTGTGGCTGAGGCTGTTGCTGTAGTCTACTCTGAATCGCTGCTTCTGAGACACTATAATACTGATTTGTTGTTGCTTCTGATATACATTAATTTCTCCCTCTGAAATCAACATTATAAGACCACTTTGTAGCAAGCCTCAACCATAAATCTCTGTTGTAACATATCAAGGCCAAGGTTGGTGTCAGTTTCATGGCCGTTTAGGTTTAAAATTGCAGACCTGCAACCCACAGATTGGTTTAATCTTGACAAGAATATATGAAATAAGTAACTGTTAAAGATAGTTTATTTAGCATTTTTTTGTATACTGTTAATAGGCTAAGCGCATATTACTACAAGTATTAATTTCATGTTGGGTTGGGTGATATTGACTAAAATACTATGGCAATCCACCTCCCTGCATTATATTGCTGTCAGATATTGATGTCAAATGCGTGCATTACTATTGTGCCTGGTTTCTATTGTAGTAGCAGCTTCATATTTTATGGACAGAGTGAGCTCTGGCCAGCAGATCTAGTTAAATCAAAAAGGTCTTGACGTTAATGGGGATGTTGAATGTGAGTTTAAGATTGCATAGACTTGCATAAGTAGCCACAATTATGACAGTAAATAAACTTCTAAGTACCTACTTATTACTAAGCATATTTTATGTAATATGCCTCACTGTTCCACTGTCTTTCACACATATTTTACATTAATTTGGCACAGGCAAAGTTTATTTCAATCATTTTATTCAGTAAGCTGTCACTTTTTTACAGTGCCTACATTTATGTTTTATGACAAAACACACAAGGTATACATTAATTTATGTTTATTGCCTAGCTTTTGTACTAGGTTGTTGGATTCATTTTTCAGTTGACACAGGCCAGGTTTTGCTGTGACTCAGTGTGGGCTTGAGGGGAAACCGTGGGTTGCTGTTTTGTAAAAACTTCACTCATTCTTGGAGGAGGTTTCAATGTAGGGCAAAAGTCATTTTATTTTAAGGCACTGCGTTTTTGTTATTGGTCATTCATTTGTGTAATTTGTTTCCAATGAAAACCGTAGCTGACTATAGTTGTACTTTTTTCCGGCTACAGCTTGCGTGTGACCTGTAACTTCTAACTGGATCCGGTGCTCGCCCTGACCTGACCTCATGTTTGGAGTCTGACCCACTAGGGGAGGGGCTAGTAGCACTCCCAGCATCCCCTGTATATTCAGTTGAAATACTGCCAAATTAAGTGCATTTTTTGGCTTGTTGTGGAATGAAGCACTTTAGTACTTAGTATTATAATTAGTTAAAAATACTTACCCAACCCTCTACAGCTAAAATCTAAATGTAAAATGGATTCTTGCTATAGATATTTAATGATAAGTCAATATTGTAATCGTGACAGGCCTAGTATTCCCCCAGAAGTTGTGTATCTGGCAACAACAAACAAAATGTATTAATTTGATTATGATTAAATATCATCATTTAAAATCTACGTACTTAAAAGCTCTGCCTTTGACTCTTCCTTTGTAATACTCAGTTCTGTCATTACTCAGTTTGAGACTTTTTTGTTTTATTTACAAAATGGTAAATTATTTGAATATTATTTCCCAAACAAAAACACAATCATTATGTTCCAAGCAGTATTAAACATTTCATTTGATACCGGGTTGTCCTGCTGATAACATAGCTTATGCCTAAACAAGTCTGACAAAAATCCTTAGCCAAACCCAGAGACCCTTTTTGTGAATGGACAGTGGTGTGGCTCACCCTTCTGCTGAAGCACTTCTTAAAATGACTTAACATGCTTAACAGTTGTGATGCTATTTTTAGCCTGGTTCCTGGTGCACTTTTAAGCACAGAGAATGCAGCTGCCCACTGTGTTAACTGCTAAGCTAAACCTATTCTGGAGAATGTAGACTCTCTCACCTACTGCCCTCCATGCGCTTGGCAAAACACTGGGCTGGACGATGACCAGGCCCAACCAGCGTGACTTGCACAAATACTGGACTTCCGCAGAGTATCAATAGCTCAAAGGCTTCTGAAACAATGCTAGTCCAGTCCGCATTGGGGGAGATAGAGGAAAACCATTTTGCCCAAATAGTTATTTAATGCCATTGTCTCCATTTCCCTTTTTTACTTGATAACATTGTGGAGAGTCACAGGCAGCAGCACATGTTTGTTTCTACTGTGTGTCGGCTTTGAACCATTACACGAAGGCATGGACAGATATCACATATTTACTATGACGTTTGGGTTATAGACCCTGTTTATATGTAATTTAATTATACAGTAATTATTGCATATATTATACAATATATATACAATATACAAAAAATATTGCATCTATTATAGAAGCACAGACAACAGTTAGTTTTCAAATAAAAAGTAGGGCAATTTTTATCAAATAAACTGCACTGACGTTGGTGTTACACTGTACAAAGTATTTATA